ATATATTATTTATATATAATAAATAATATATAAATAATATATTTATATATAAATATAAATATAATATAAATAAATAAATAATATATTATATTATTTATTTAAATTATATATATAATTATATATTGTATATATATATATATAAAAGTAATATATTTATTTTTCTTAAAAATTAAGAATTTAAAATTCAAAGTATTAAAACACTGAATACAAAGTGATATCATGTAAAAATAGTTTTTAAGAAAAAAATTTAAGAAAAAAAACTCTTGGAATTGTATATTTTTTAGAAATATTTCGACTAAGGTGTGAATATAGTTTTAGGACTTAAGACGATATTTTTCAACCATGTCAATCTCAAATCAATATCAATCGAATAAATTTATAACAACCATTCGTGAATCACTGTGTAATTTTTCTAGAAATAACGAACTTTAGCAAATTTTTTAAATTGAAAACATAATCTTTCAATTTAATTTTAAGAATTTTCTTTAGATTGGGAGTCTTGCATAACTAAGAGATTGATTTACAATGTTATTGGCCACTTATTGTTGCACATACCGAGGATCCATGATCTTGCGAAATGAACATGAAAAGGATTTTAAAAAGCATAAGTGTTTGTAAAATTCGAAAAAAATTGGAACATTTTTAATCTTTAATTATTGAACAGACTAAGAAAACATCTTAATTTGTTGAACTATTCGAAATAGCAAAATGTTTTAAACTTTTGAATCATTGAACATTCGGATTAAAAAAATATCTTGACATATTGAATTATTAATTTAACCTCATAAATTCATATAGTGATAAATGTAAAATTTCATTGGCATATTTGCTCTTGATTATTTAAAATACAATTTGTTAATAATATTATTAATATTTTATAATATGGATTTTATAATATAATCAATTTTATTACTATATTATAATATATATATTATAGCTTCACGGATTGGTGCTAACATAAGATATTTCAAAAGATATTGCTGATCCATTGATTTGAAATTTTAAATAAGAGGATAAGAAAATTTTAAACATAATATTTTAATTTTAAATATTTATAAATGTCTGATATAACTCTTAATTCTTTTAAACTTTTTCAGTAATATATATTCAATTAGTTAAAAATATTACTAATTACATATTATATACTGTTTATTCAAATAATATATAATTATCTATTGTAGTAATCGTTATCAATTGTCCAGTAAATAATGACAAAATAGCTTTAATATTTATATATATATTCTTACAATTTGCAGAATATAAAAACAAAATATAAAACAATTCTTGGATAATCAAAATTACAATGAATAATATTTAATCAACATCATTTATATATATTTTTGTAATTATAATTCATAAAGAAATAGATTTTTATATTTTGAACGGTTTTGTTTTTTTATATTTTGAACGTTATTGCGATATATTTATAGAAATAATACTCACATTATGCTAAGATTATGCTAAGATTAGATTGCAAATACATGTATAGAATTCAATGTATTATATTTTAAAAAATTTTTTTTATTAATATCTCTAATAACTAATAAAAAAACTAATAAAAAAATTAAAATTTTATATTCTTCGTTTGATCAATGTATAAACCATATTACACAGTTAATTTTATAAAAAATAAAAAATATAAAAATTATAAATTTTGAAAAAAGTAATAAAGAATAATTTTTATTAATGAAAAGATTTAATTCGAATAGTTTTGGATTTGAAAATAAAATTTTTTGAATTATCACTATATGAATAATAGAAGATATAAAATTTATAGCAAGCCGAATTAATAGTATAGTATATTCATTAATTCAATAAATGAATAAACGAAAATGTTCATAATAGTAAAAACTATAAATTATAGTATTCAATAATAAAAACAATATTTATTAATAAATAAATAAATAAGAATTGTTGGCATAAGTTCATATTTTAACAAAACAATGTTTCAGTTTATATTACAATAATGAAAATATATTATTAATAGAGAGAAAATTATGTTCTAGCTAATAAGATTCCTAATTTAAACATAATTGAAAATTGTGAAGAAAATCTTGAACACAAAAATACGGAAATGATCATTGATAAATTAAAAAATTGTATTAAATACATATAGTTTAAATATAGTGAAAATATTCAAAAACTATATAAATCTTCGAAAAAATAATTGATATTAACAGTTAAATTATAAAATTTATTATATAAAAAATAAATGAATAGACAGTATGTAAATATCACTTTATATGTTCCTTGTTTCTCATGATCAAATTTACAAAATTCAAATTAAGATATCTATATTATATATAATTTTTAGACATATATAGAGTAATATTTTTTTATAAAAAATTTCAAACTGTCATCAATTAATATTAAAAAATATATAATCTCCATGATCATTCAAAAAAGAAGATGTCCTTAAAATTAACTAAATATTCTATCTGTAAAAGAAATTTTTTGTCATATTATTACTCTCCACATTGAATAACTCTTGCCAATGACATTTTATATCTCTAAAATCAACAAAGGTATATAAAATTTAATTAGATTATTCTACATATTTATATAAACTTTGTTTATTAAAAAAAAAGTCAAATTCAAAATTCATATATAAGATATATCATATTAAATAAAAAACAATAGTAAGTAATAACTCTTTCTGAGATATAATTATTTTATGCTTTATATTAGTATCATGATTAACTTATTAATTTCTATACATTCCATTAAATATTTTTCAGTTTATAAATGCTTTTAGAATATTTCTATTTAATTTTTATATATACTTTATAATAGAATTGTGTCAATTCTTCATAAAAATAATTTAATATATGAATTAATATATATATAATTTAATAACGAAAACAGCATACTCGTCAAATAATTTGAGATTGTATAGAAATGAAAAAAAAACATGTGAAACATTTTTTGTAATATTGAAAAACCAGAGATAAATCAATCATGATGCTAACATAAAACAAAATATAATTATATTTTGAAAATAGTTAAATTTTCGATCTTATTTTATTTGATTTATATTTACTGATTTTTTTATTTAATATACATATATAAATCTTGAAATATATTTTAAATATCTTTATATATTCTTTATATTTTTATATGTCATAGGATATTAATATATATTCATGGAAAATTGTCTTTAGAAGGTTGATTTTATCAAGAATAATGAATTGAAATTTGATTTGTTTAAGTAAGATACAAATAGAATGAATCTAATAATTATCGAACTTTGTTTCTGTCTTCAACTAACGCAAATTTACATTACTTGTAATTTAATAAATAAGTTTTAATAGATATTTTTATATATTTATTTTTGTATTTATTTTATTTTTTAGTATCTATTTATTAAGTAAACTATTTTCCAAAGTATTTTATGAATATAATAACAATATAATTGTATATAATTATTGACAATTTGAAATTATTTATTGACAATTAGAAAGATATAGAAACTAAATATTTTATAAAAATCAAAATATTTTATAATTTCAAATCTTTGTTTATTAAGTCTTTTGATATATTTAAAACGAAATAAAAATAAAATAAAAAATTTTTTTTATAAAATCAATTAGTTAAAATTATAATTCTTTAATTTTTAATCTTCGCATGGAACTTCGCATTGTGAAAGTATTTACTGTGATATTATGTGTTATATACATTTCAATCTAATTGAAAAATTCGCATTTCAATTAAAATATTATTTTCTTAATTTTGAAAAAAAGTTAAATATGTTACAGAATTAGTTTTGAGAACCATTCTAGATGGTTTTTAAGAAATTCTTAAAGATAAAATACTCAAGTGATGTTATAAATTAAATTATTTTATTATTACATACATAGAATTATTAGAAATATTATATTTTATTGTTATATTTATATGTTATATTATATATTATATTATTTATAATCTTTCACAATATAAACTAAAGTAAAATTTTGAATTTCAAATCAATTATCAAAGCTGCAATACATTTCATTATTTTTTATAAACTTATTCGTGTATTTAATTTTTAGAATATATTTACATCTTTATAAATAAGTAACATTAAATAAGTATTTTTAACCTTTTTCATTTTTATTTCTTTTTTTAAATTGAAATTCTAATATTGATATTCAAATTATTAAAATTATTGTTTTAAAATTATCATTTTTTTTTATGAATTCAATAATATTTTTAATATTTTTATTTTGATATTTGTTACTCTGATATAAAATTGTACAAAATTTGTACAATTGAATATATGAAATACCATACGCAGAAGATAACATATGTCATGGGAATTAAAACTCACTTTGATATTCGATTTATTCTTCCTAGACAGAGATTTAAACCAACCCTTTCTCTCAACTTCCTGTCCTTGATTTTTTTTAGTGAGAGTGTTATTTGATTCGCAAAAGGATTCCTCTTCTCTAGTCAATGTACCTGTAGATCTAGAAAGTCTCGTTGTTCTAGGAGGACTGGGACTGTCGCTTGGAGTAGATAGACGTCTACGTTGACTATATTCCTCCTGCAAAAAATTATGAATATATTTAGATTTATTTAGATTTATTTATATTTATTTTCACATTTCAAGTTTTAAAAATTTTTAATTATTTTTATAAAAAAAAGAAAAAGAAGAATGATTAAATTTCGATTTTTAATGTTCAAAAAATTTATTTGTTTAAAATTTAAATGTTGTTAAAATTTTCTATAGAATATTATATATATATATTATTTATTATATATAATATGTAATATGATTTATTATAACAATTTATTTTATTCCTTTAGTATATATATTTTACTACATTTAGATTTATTTTGAAAAAAAATAAAAAATTTGAATTTTCCGAATTTTTGATTTTTTCGAATCTTTCAAAAAATAATTCTTGGACGACTAGAATTAAAATAATTGAGATTATAATGTTATAAAATTAGGATTATAAAATTATCAGTTTTATTCGTATTTACTACATATTAAGAAAAAAATTAAAAATATATATTTTTAAAAATCATCGAAAAATAATAGTCTTTCTATATATAATTATATAATTATTTTTAATATTTAAATCAATTCTTATTTAAACTATGTAATAAATTATATTTATGAGCCCGAGTAATTATTGTATTTCTAGAATTTAATAAATTGAATAAATCCTATTTATTAAAAGACTATTTTTACAAAACATTATCAAAGTATAAGAAAACAGAATGAAAATAAAAAAGTATAAGAGACTCATAGAGAAGAGAAACTTTAATTTGTTTAAAAAAATTACATTCTGATGTTATTTAAGATTTATTAAATTTACAACGATAACATTCGACATATACAATAGTAACAATAGAAATTTGAGATTTTCTTTTAATGTATAAAATATATACTACCTAGTTATGTATTGATAAATAGTATATCAAAGAAAAAAGATTTGAGGGATCGATTTAGATATATAGTGCTTCAAAATTTTCGAATTTTTAACAACAGTAACAGTGAAAGA